CGTCCTTTCCTTCATTTGCAGAATCAAAAATTGCCTTGTGCTGAACAGTCTCTGTGGACAAGCTTGCCAAATGGTCATGAGCTCGGGATTTCTCCAGTTCAAGGCGGCAAATCTTTTCCTGAAGAGTCTTGAGTGCAGTGAAAAGTGCTGTATTGTAGATGAAAAAAAACCCTAAATATAGATTTGCCTCATATGCTTGCCCTTTCTGCTCCTCCCCCAGATATACTGTTATATAGGATACCATGACTGACAGCCAGTTGAAATAAGTTCCCAGAAATCACTGCTGTTCCCCTAACAGCACTGCTTATGGGATAGGCACAGCGAGCTGCGGTTGAGGACATCCAGCGTGTTGAAAAACATTACAGGAAAGCATTGAGTCAATGCTTTCCTATGGGAAAGGCCTAATGCACGCGCTCCTAGAGAACCATTTGACTGGATCATTCTCCCAGGCTGCGCACGCACTTAGCTGGGTAGTAAAGAGATTGTGAGAGGGAGAGGGCCGGTGTAAAAGAAAAAAAAAAAAGTTAGATGCTGTAGGGAGGTGGGAAAGGCTAGGAGGGAGGGGAGATATAGATTTTCCCTTGCAGGCGTGCTCCCGCCACTCCCTGCAAGGGTAGAAGTCAATTATGTCTCTTGCCAGCTCACAGTGCATGCTATCAACAGCCCATAATTAACATTAGGCAGCCTGTAACAGAGTTTCAGGCCACTTAAGTCACGTCTGGGGTGCAAATAGCCCTATAAACTTTTTACAATAATGAAGTTACAAGTAGCCAAATTACATGCTGAACTAATATAGTTATAGTATACATTTATTACCTTTACTATTTGGTGCTTGAAGTATGTCATACGAATGAGAATTTGAGAGTTTCAAAGGTGAAGATGATGTTTTTCCAGAAGATGATGATTCAAACAGATCAGGTAACGGAATGCCTTTAGGAGGCTGACCGAAGCTTGCAAGCATGCTGTCCTTCAACAATGAGTCCATTTAAAAAGCTGAAATTAAATACAAAGATCACAGTAACATCATGATAGTGTTAGTGCAAGAAAGTCTTACATCTATTTTTCATTTTCAATTTGAAAACAAAACCATGCCCTTGATTCGTAGGAGAGTGGGTAAAAGAATTTGAATCCAATGTGTGTCTCACTAAGAGATTGTCTCCAGGGTCTTCTTTACCTTATCTGACATTGGTGCAATCAAAATGCTGCCGAGTACCCTCAGCCAATCGATTTGCTGCCACTGAACAAATGTGCATGATGATTAATAGATTATTAATTGTGTTATATATTCCAAAACTGGTGGACTGCAGGCCAGTGATCATGGAAACCAAAAGTATTAGCGTGAATATTTCATAGATGGTTGCTCTAGTTTTACAATTTTGTATCCATCTCCATGGAAATGAATAGGAGATGATTAGTGGATACATTGCAAATTGTGACCACCACTCACATGTGAGCCATAGATAAATAATGACTTCCACTGCAATGAATGGAAGTTTGTCATGGATATGAATGCAGAGCTCACTGATTTTTAAGATATAATGTACAAATCATCCCAGATCCAGCAGGGCTTTCCAGATTTGCTAATCCCATCATGAGATATGACAGCACAAGGGCGTCATTAAATATTAAATATGCTTGCATTGAGTGAGACAAATACAAGGTATTTCTGCCCATGCAATAACATGTTCTCAGTGCACGTACAGCAGTGCTGCTTGTAAACACAACATGGATGTGAGCCGAGCTTAAATCCCCACTGTGTGACCAGCAGTGATGCATAATATGAAGCTAGCATGTCCATATTTAACCCAATACTCCATACCAATTTCATATCTTGGTGTTGCGAGGAAGATGGTGGGGAAGTATTATGCTCTAGTGCATGGATAGGTAACCTTCGGCACTCGAAATGTTGTGGACTACATCCACCATAATGCTCTTACACTGTAATGCTGGCAAAGCATCAAGGGAGGTGTAGTCCAAAACATCTGGAATGCCGAAGGTTGCCTATGCCTGCATCCAGTGAGCATCTCTGGCAATATGCAAGTGTTGGTCTTCAAGGCTCACCTTACGGGTCTGTCACTGAATGAATGCATACGGACACTGCAAACATACAGCAACACTGACATTGTACACACACATAACAACTGAAATCTGCAGACAATGAGACCAGGATACACATGGACACTGCACATTGACACAATACACAGTCATGGGCATTTACAAGTTTTACACACAGAAACACACACAGTGCACAAACCACGTTTTATTTATTCAAAAAGCCACTTACGACAATAATTGTGTATGCGAGGGAATGGTTGAGTATGTGTTATATGTGGCTTTTAAACATTACATGATCATCAATAGTCCAAGGAGTGGCCCTGTTGGCCACAGAGAGACTGGATAAGGATTACATCTAGAAGAAAAATTTAAATATTGTATTTAATGTATGTACAAGTATGCAGTTCACAACTGGATGGTGGCATACATTGTACCTGGAATATAACCCTTGAAATAAATACATTGTACCTGGAATATAACCCTTGAAATAATACATTGTATCTGGAATATAACCCTTTATTATTATTATTATTATTATTATTATTTATATAGCGCCAACAAATTCCACAGCGCTGCACAATGGGTGTACTAACAGACATGTATTTGTAACCAGACAAGTTGGACACACAGGAACAGAGGGGTTGAGGACCCTGCTCAATGAGCTTACATGCTAGAGGGAGTGGGGTAGCATACTGTATAGTTTAGTTTTTTTTTTTTTAAATAGATGTTGGGCAATAACTTACATTATGTTATTTCTGTCCTCGGACATTACCTGTTCCTCAGTGCAGTTGTTTTTCGGCACAGTTTACAAGGAAACGCGTCTCTCAGTGTCATTACACCTTTGAATCTACCGCCCTCTATCCCGCCTCCATGGCTTTTCCAACCACAATTCCGCCAGCATCACGTGATGCTGACTCGCGTCGGCCATCTTTACTTCTGGTGTCTGCCATACTTAGTATACAGGACACGGAAATAACAAGCCTGCATCTAAATAATCAGATTTACAGCAAAAACAACAAGAAAGCTTCTATTTGCCAATACAAAGTTTATGCGTTTTATAAAAGCCAGCGTTTCTCAAAGAGTTCTGGGCCTCTAACCATGAGGTTACAGACGATGTAGATAGACTTAGAATGTTATGATAAAAGTAGCCTGAGGATTTCCCCCAGCTGTGGTAGAAGTACAGCTCCCAGGATTATTTTGTAAAAAGCGTGATGGGAGTTGCAGTGGAGAGTTCTGACTTTTGGCCATCACGATGCTGATCTGTCTGTCTTGACTGGACAACATAACTAATTTAAGTGTACAATAATAATTCATAATAAACCAGTATGCAAGGGGAATTGTGCTTGATACCCGTACTTACAAAGCAGACTGGCAGTAACTGATCCGTTTTGGGGGAAATAGGTGCCGAGATGGGGTGGGGATATAGGGGGTAATGAATCCCCCCATAAAGTCTGGTGTAACTTTTAAGATCTTATGTTTTACTAAAAGATAAGAAAAACAAAAGATGTGTTCAAATATTTGGTTATCCTATACTGCTAACTAATGATAATATCTAATTCTGCATTTAGAAAACTAATTGGGGCTGAGATTAGTTTTAGGCTGTACCCTTGCATACCACACCATAGGTGCACACAATCTGCACAGTGTTCTTTTTGCACCTATTTTGCAAATTTGGAACTTCGTAAACAAACCAGTGCATGCTTGCATGCCTTTGCCCAGTCATGTGACTTGGCAGCTGCCCTATGGTAAAGCCAGCCACAGTTGGCACTTTCCAGTCTGTACTATATAGAGAGGTGGCTGCAAGCTTTGTACTGCATGCACTGACAGGAACAGACCTCACTCAAGGGCCTGAACCCGCCTCCCCACTCCTGTTTGTGAGAGCAGGATAAAGTCTGCTGCTGGAAGGATCTGCAAAAAAGGAGGGGAGGAGGGAGATGATTGATTTATAATGCAAAAACAGACTGAGGTATATGCAAAATCCACAGTGAAGAAAGCTCATTTAAGTGGTATGGCATGTATTTCCCATGTTAGTAACTTCAGTATAGTGCATGTGGAGATGTCTGGCATCTTGCAAATCTCCTGAAACACTTGCACAGTTGGCACAGGTTGATTTGCCAAGCCTTTATCAGGGTGTGAAACTCTATCTGTGGACAGAAGTGAGTGATGGGAACAAAGTATTCGAAGAGAAGAGTCTGATTTCTTTGTTTAATTTCTGAAGTTGGCACATCAGGTGGATGGGTGTGCTTTGCTTCTGCCTCCAGCCTGCCAGAGCTTTGTTACAGAAAACAAAAGTGAAGCAGCCACAACAACCCACTGGAGTGAAGAAAAAACAGATGATATGATAAGAAGTTTCTGTTTACTTTCTGACAGAACGAATACTGTTGTTGCAACACCACTGAGCTAGCTGTCAGAAGAGGCATCAATATTACCCTGGGGTTCTGATCAATGCTTTAAGACATTATTATATCTTCCTAAGCAATGGCTTTGTCTGATTACTAATAGTGTTTTACATTGATTTTGTTAGAAAAATATTTACTGCCTCACATATCACAAAGGATTGAAAAATTTGTGGCATGGACTGACTTTTAACTTCAGTAAATGAAAGTTTATATTGTAAAGAAAGATTAGTTTCTTTTGTGAATCATCCTCCAGAACTGATTTATGTGGATTATTGCTGTAATGTAATCCTAATTCATCTTCAAAGGGTTTAGGATGTAACCTCTCTGACTTAACCAGTTATTAAAATACGGTGTAATATTTTGTAGCAGAAGCTGCATCGGAGAGAATTATTCAAATCTGTGGACACCTAGCAAGATAATAGTAAGGATGATATATCGCCCAACCTATTCTATCAGCTTTATTTTGACATTGTGTAATCTAATCTCCTTATTAGCATCCTCTGCGAACTTTGTAAATGATTTACATTTGGAATTAACATTTTAGATTTGATTCCTTAAACAAAACAAAAAACACTTACTTACATTTAGTGACATTCTCATGGTTTTTGACCTGCTTTACAAAAACATTTTAATAGAAGATTGCGGAATGCGAAGATAAGTTAACATGGCAAGGCCTGTGCAGTAGGGACTCTAGTACGAGAAAACAGGCGTTGAAAAATATTATGGAAATGGTGCAGAAATGTATTGATCTACAAGGGCCCTCATCTAAACAAAAGGATACAGGACCAGCAGAGCTCAACCAGATGCTGGCTAGACTGTTGATGCTGTCCATAAGATGTCCTTTTCCAGATGTCCGACTCAAGAGCCTTGAAATCTTGAGAATAGTTCAAGTAAGCACACATTGCTATATTTCTACATAAGATGAAGCAGTTTTTTTAGATTAGTTGTAAAAAAAAGAATGGTGCTATTCTGAGCTAAATAAGGGTCTATCAGTATGGAAACCAATAAATTGGTCATATTTAGCCAATTGCACCTGTTTTGTCTTAGTAAAACGTTTATTCTGCGATTTTCAACTTCAGTTTGAATTCCCACTGTAGTAAACAGCACTGTTGTTTATTACGTCATTATTCACTCTAGTGAGAAGATCCCAGAATTTGAAGTGAATTCAAAGTGCATTTCAACATTTAGGCCAAAATAACTAAATTAGAAATAATCCCCACTTTAATTCTGTTTTAACTTTTGCCTTAAATTCCTGGCAATTTTAGTTAAGCAATACCCTGTTTAAGAACACAGGGTTGTTCAAAAGTGAGAATTCAAAGAGAATTTCAAATTCAAGGTACAAAATAAAAGAACTGGAAATATTCTCAGTCTAAGTCAACTATGTTTCCAGATTTGTACTTGCTATTGCATATTCTAATGCTTCGCCACCTCTTAGAGTCAATTAGTCACATGATTTGGCAGCCATTTTGAGATACTAACAAATGTTACAGTGCATTTGTGAAGTTACTACTACAAAACTACTTAACAAATATTCTTTATTAATGATGTGCTGATAACAGTTATGGTGTACTCTGCCATTTGCTATGTAAAGCTCATATGTCTCATTGTCTGGCGGCCATATTTATATATATAACTAATGATATAAAATGTCAAACATATTTTAAAATGCAAATGTTTGTAAAATACTTCTTGATATGTAATATCTGTACACGTGCTGCATCCATGTTTGTATGCCTGGCCACTTTTACTGTTTAATCAGTCATGTGATTTCCTAGCCATTTTAAAATTGTCACAAATGTGAAAATTAACTATTACAAAAGCCACAAGCTTAAAACAGCTTGATAGAAGTTCTTTAAAACTGGTGCCATGATAAATATGTCACGGCTCTCGGCTATTCTGTCGGCGTGGCTGCACATAAACTAGACAGCCACGCCGACAGAAAGGTTTCTAACTTACCTTGGTCACGGCTGGCAGCTGCCTGGTCTCCCTCCGTTCTGGTCCCCAGCGGGTGTGACGTTCTTAGGAACGCTGGCTGCTGCGGTTCAGGATTTTATAATAAACACCTTCTCCCACATTAAAGATGGCGCCAATGTGCGTGTGACGTCATGTCCTAGACGTGCACGTACGATTTGGTGTCAAAGGTCGGAGACAGCCAATTACAGCCTGAAGAGGATTATTTAAACCCAAATTACCTTTTTGCCAGTGCCCTGTTGTGGTATCCACTAGCTGATTATCCGAGAGTGTCTTCCTGATCGTGTTTTATCTGGTATTTGACTTTGGCTTTGTTCTGACTTCCCTGATTTCCGGTATCCTTGCCTTCTGGCTTTCCTCATCGTTGCGTCTCATTCTGTGTCCCTGACCTCGGCGAGTATTTTGACTATTCTCGGGTCCGGTTAGACATTATATTGAGTCTTTAGGTGTGATACAATTCTGCGTGCTGGATCAATTATAATCCTGACAAAATATTAACAGTGTGCTCTGCCATCTTAAATTTGAAGATGTGGTCGGTCAGCCATATTGGATTACTTGACAAATTTAGAAATATCTTCATGTAAGTTTATTAAATGCATATCTATTTGCTCTATCCAGGCATTTGTGTTTGACCACATTGATTTTTGCTTGCAGCTATACGAGGTCGGTCTGGAAAAAGTCCAGCCATTGTTAATATAACCAGAATGGTTTGCGCAACATCGGTGTAACCTGGCAGCCAAGGGGTGTGGACTGGACTGCACATGCGTAAACAATGATGATTTCACTGTTGTAGTCAGTGGGGTTGCTAAACACCATTGAGTGAGCATGTGTACTGTGTGGCCATCACATTCAAAATGACCGAGCAAGTAGAGCAACAGATCGGCATAAAATTTTGTGTTAAGCTTGAACATTCCTTTGCGCAAACTATTCGGATGATTCAGAAGGATTTTGGAGATGATGCAATGAGTGCAGCGCAAATAACGCTTTAAAGATGGTCGAGAATCTGTTGAAAGATTTGTCTGAGTGCGACTTCTGGCTTTCTCAAAACTAAAATCACATTTGAAAAGAAATAGCTTTCAGGCCGTCAATGAGATTCAGGTAAATACGACGAGGCAGCTGATGGCAATTCCAACAAACAATTTTGCAGAGTGTTTTGAACAGTGGAAGAGATGCTGGGAGGACCGTGTGATGTCCCAAGGTGCCTACTTTGAAGGGGTTTGAGACGTCATTGTCCTAATGTACAATTTTTCTTGTATCTTGTTCAATGAATGTCTTTTACTACATGGCTGGATTTTTTTTCCGGACAGTATTTATTATAGTATTTGACAACAAGTCATTGATATACAAAATGGTAAAGAAGGCCGTGTTCAAATAAACTTGCAATCTCTGAGGAAGGGGCAAAGAAACACAAGAAGAAGAACATGTCAGAGTGGGGGAGGTACTGATTGATAAGATGGCTGTATCAAAATAAGCCAGTGAAATAGTGTGTGACAGAACCGAACAGTCAAATGGCATAGAGTAAACTGGACTATGGAAGAAAGGGAAATGAGGTAGGCAGTTGTAATGCAAGAAGTGTCACAGAGGAAGATAGTTTGCTATCCTAAAGAGGTGTGTTTCCAATGAATTCTTGAAGGTCTTGAGGCTAGAGGAGAGTCTAATGGCACGAATTCCATAGGAATGTTGCAGACTTTGAAAAATCCCGCAGATGAGTTAGCAATGCGGGAACGAGCAGATAAGCAAAGATAGTTGCACACAGAGCAAAAGGAAGGAAGGATGTTTTGTTGCATTATATTTTAAAGTTTTGAAATTTGTGGGTGTCACTTGCCATGGATATCTAGTATTAGGACAGGTAAGATATGGTATAAGATAATAAAATGTGCAACCACTCCAAGCTACTCTAGGCTAATTTCTTCACATCATTGTTAGTAGATCATATACAAACTGTAGTAACTGTTTATTTTCCTTCTATTTATAAATTAATACATTCAATGAAATCTTACTCTGAAAACATACTATTTACAAACAATACATTTTTATTGTTTATATAATTTAAAAAAAAACATGATAAACTGTTTTTCGAACAGCACTCAGTAAGGGTCCCTGGATACCCGCAGTTATGCTCCTCTCAGTTGCCTGGCAGCAGTTATAGACTGAGCCCATCAGCTGAACGCTCTCAGGCTATCATTGCTGCCCATTACTAGTATAGATTGGTATGGCTAACTCAGCGTTACACTTTCGATTAGCCATACCTCCAGCAAAGATGGAGTTATAGGCGCCAAGAGACCATCATTCGGTACCAAGCTGATTAAAAATGGTGAGATGGTTTCAGGGGACCCTGAGCATCGTAAACAATTCAGTGAGATGAAGTTGTAATGGTGCCTAGAGTGCCCCTTTAAATGGAACCCTTTTAAACCCACTACCTCCAAATACTACCATATAAGTGTTACATAGTGCCTATAGATCTTCATATTGGCTGAGGAGATGATATGTTAATAATCAGGAGAATACGGAAATCTAAAAACAAGCTTATCTTCTATCTAAGGTCTTTACAAGGTCATTTTATTGATATAAAATATCTTTGCCTCTCATGCTGTATTGTTATTTTTTATTTATGGAGAGATATAATTTGTTAAAAACATTACAAGAAGCTAAAAACTTGCTAAAATTAGAATTTTGTGTGCTCAAAATAGGTGCCGGTTAAAATAAAAAAAACAGTATATAATTCAACTGGTGTATATAGATTTAAATAAATAATCTTTTTTATTCATATTTGTTATACTCACATTAATTGCTTTATATGTCTTCGTGTTCACCTCTCTGTCTATTCATAGCATACATACATAAATAGCATACACAGATCAGTTTATGACATCACACATACATCACACTCAGTGAGTTACATCATAAATGCACTGTCACTACAGTTAATGCTAGCTAAGGAAGGGTGAAGCCATTGTAGCTTGAGGTGACCTGGGTAAGGTTGGCACTAGAAGTTGCTATTTGCAGAAAAAAAGTTTGAAAAGGATGCAATCAGAGAGCAATAACAGTGAGTTACATTTTTCTTACCTTTTCCACAGAATTTATAGGAGGGTGCATAATGTATTTATAGGAGGAACTGAATGTGTTTAAAGAGCAGAGTAAGCATGAATACAAATACAAAACATTTGTTGGAAGATTTACGTTATTGAGGTAAAAGGGTTGATTTTATTATTTTAATGTATATTTGTTTATCCAAAAGGATTTATTCACTAAAGTGAGAAAATCAAAGTGAATTGCAAATTTAAGATCAAAATAGCCAAAATGGAAAAATTCTCAAAGTCAGTCATGCTTTCAGTTTAATCACGTTTGCCTAATATTTTGAAATTTACTAAGAATTCACTTTGAATTCTAATTTTAGTGAATAATCCTGCTTCTGTATGATACACAAACATTTTTTCTTTCTTTTTTTTTTAATATATCTTTTTTATTGTTTTTCATGTATACGGGGTACAGAAGAAAGAAGGGGGGTGCAGGGATTACATTTGTAAAACAATTTTCAGACAGTAGTATACAGGGCCGGACTGGGGATACAAAGCAGCCCTGGAAAAAAAATTTGTGCCAGCCCCATAAGTCACTGTGCCATATATTGTCGCGTGTAATATGTAAGGCTATGTCTTGCCAGGACAGATGATTGAGTAATATATATATATATATATATATATATATATATATATTGCTTTTTCTAATATAAAATATTGGTCCTTTCAGGGTAAAACGTTTAATTATACAGTAAGCATACTCACATGCAGACACAGGCAATTTCACTGACATTTCAGTGACACACACAAGCTCATTGATACACAGCCTCATAGACAAACAATCTTACTGATATACATCAGCTCATTGACATAAAAACACAAGCTCACTCACTAGCAGGCACACGCATGCAAGCAAGCTCACTCACTAGCAGACGCACACACACAGCTTAATGTGGTGGTACTGGTGTCTATAGCTGTGATGGGATTCCAGCATGGTTAAAATTTAGTAGGCCAAAATCTCCATGTGGCATATGTGTATGTTGTGTCAGTTGGTTAGCTACATGTAGCTAGGATACTGTCATCAGTGTACTGAGCATGTGCAGGAATGCAGGAACTGAAATTGCACTTATTTCCTTTGTCTTGGATGAGCCATGTGGTTTGACTAGATGTACAAGTCTATATTCTGCTCATTGATTGGTTAAAGGTGTATGTGGGTGTAGCTATTAATGGGAGGAGATATGCAGTTAACAAAAGTCCCAAGCCACAAGTATATGGCTCTCAGATCATTTGGAACAGGAGTTCATCTGAGACCCGATCGGTAATGTGAATAAAGGCCTGTTACTTCCTGAAGACCTGTGTCCAATATTTCTGTGTTTGGCTTCTGCATGCTTACACTGCAACATTTCTGGTGCAATTGGGCCGGGAACCTCATCGCACGGAAGCTGGCACAGAGATTTGAGACGGTAAACTTTTACCAAACCTTCTACGCTACAATCCTGGACTTCTACTGCGTGGACCTCCTTTCGTCTCGGCGCCACTGGCCTTTTGTCCAGGAGATCATCGGCTTCTGCGCAGTGAGTCCCGGATTGTTCCGTCTATGAGTGAACCCAGGTTCAGTAATTAACAGGTGAGATTGATACCGTTAGAGCGGTAGACCCACAAGGGGTTTTATATTTGGAACCGGTTATTGGTATTGGCCCCTTCAGTAGAAGGAAGAAGTGAAAGCGCAACACTTATCTGGAAATTAGACGCTCTGTAGTCAGCCCGTCTAATATAGGTGGTTTGGGTCAGACTGAGTTGTGGTGTAAATAGCTCATGTCGGACACCGGTGTCCTGTCTTGACTAGCGTATCTAGGGTGTAAATTTTGTTCGCTAGGTCGGGGGGACCGGGAGACTAGCATACTCTGTTGTATATTATAGTTTGCTAGATTTCACCCTATCTTAACTAAGTGTGCTCTGTTGTAAATCCAGCCACTAGCTTATTGATAGTTTAATAGACTAGCTGGGTACTGTGTAAATTCTGCCCTCTAGTTCGCTATACGTGGTGTCTGGGCAGCGAAGAACTTATCGAATCTCTGGTGTATAAATAGATCGAAAGCTCTCGAGGTGCTGGCCAGTTAGAATAGTTGGGATTATTGTAAATGTTGTTAAATATATTGTAGTTGGTGAATTGGTTAACTTGTATGTCCTACTAGAAAGTTAGAGCTCTGCTGTCTAGTGGGAGTGTAAATTGTGTGTATAACTGTAAAATAGCGCACGGTACCATAACTACTGACATGTACCATAACCACTGACATTGTGTAAAAATTACTAACAATTGCTGTTTTATGTTATATGTATAATACCATAACTGTTACTAACTGATCTGTGACTTTAAAACTGTATTATAACCACTTACTAACTGTACCATAACCACTGACTGTAAAGATGAGGTTACTAGAATGTGATATAGTTGGTTAGTCAAAAGTTGATTTATAGTACAGATAATTGTAGAGATGAATTTGTTGAAATGTTATGTGATCGGTTAGTTTATATGGATTAATAGCGTGGATAGTTGTATGGTTTGAATAATAGTTACATTGATAAGTGTATAGTCTTTGGTGGGTTTTTGATTTAATTTCGTGTGTGCGACGTCGTGATATTGTTGAGCATGTGAGGATCCTGTGTGTGTGTTTGGGCCTAGTGACTGCGCAATGTGTTGCTGGTGATAAGGAGATTGGTGTGACTGTTGAAACTGTGTGTATATTTGTACAGCTTTTTGAATCAGACGTTCTGTTGAAATAATCTGATTCACAAGGCTTTGTCTTGTATGTTTTCAAAAAAAAAAAAAAAAAGTAGGGAGTAGCCTGTCCTGGTGGCCGCATGGCCTCCATGTAGCAGTCTTCACTTAAATTTAGTGCAGGGTGTACATGTGGCTGTAACTAGTAGGCTGGAATTCTATGATCAGTTTCTATATATTGACTGTTGGAAACTGATTTGTTGAAAAACTGCCTTGGTGAATTAAACTGTGTCATATGGGAAACAATGTAGCCATATGGTGGTCAGAACTAAGGACTTAATTACAACTGCTTTGGATATCCCCTCCCCCCCTGGCATCTGATTACCAACCCCCCAAACATCCTCCAGAGCCAGAGTAGCCACGCCCATTTCTTACTCCCAAAACTGGTATATAGTCAGTATTTGCACTCCCCCTGCTCTACTCTCCCCGCCTACCCACATACCTATCTGTTCCTGTGTTTCAAACTCTTGTATTTCTGTACTACCCCTCCCCCTAATCAATGATCAATGGTATCAGATGGTATATGGTCTTTATTTTAGTTACTGGATGGGCCCCTCCCAGCTTTGTCCAAAATGTCCCCTTTTACTAAACTACAAACTGAAATGTTTAATTTACCTTAGAACTAAAGATTTAATCAAGCCTAGCTAGCAGGGTGGACATTGATTAAAATAAGTAATAATAAAATAGGACATAATTAATTAAAGTCTATTTGTTTCATTTGACTTTAGGGAGGCACTCTAAGCCACCTACTGGCCATCTTCGGGAGTTACATTGATAATACATTGTTTATAACAGATAGATGTAGGATTGCTTACCCTATTTTAATATATTTATTGCTATAAGGTTTTATTTTATGTATAAATATATTAAAAGTTGAGTTTTCTTATTAGACCCATAAAGATTATTTTGATACAATTACCCTCTGGTGACACCTACTGGTAGGTTTTTGGTTTAACACTTTAAAAAAAAAGTTTTTTCATCCACCAAATGCTGACTAATAAAATTAGCTCACCCCCTTACACTTATCTTACTACTCCTAGACTGGAACCTATTATTGGGCAGCTTTGCCGAAGTCCCATATTAGACACTGCTTGAGTCAAATAGGTTGTATACTCCCTTTAATCCAGAGGCCCCTGAAAACTTCCGAATGATAGACTCAGCATTTGTCAGCCAGGCCCAAGGTGATAGTAAAAGGAAATTACAGAAAATTAGAGGGATTTGTAGGGATGTCCATAATACAGCTAATGGAGATTGCAAATACAGTATATATGAATAGGGAGACGGAGGAAGAACGTAAAATGAGGAAAAAGGCAGATATGCTAGTGGTAGCTATCTTAAGTGTAGAAAGACAGGGAAGTGAATAGAGGAGACGAGAATAGGCTGAGCAAGGGACTTTAAGTAGGAATTAATGTGCGTATTGTAGAAAGGAGGGACATTGGAAGAGTGAGTGTCCACAGAGAGAGCAGTATGAAGGTGATAGACAAGGAGAGAGAAGGGTATGAGGAGGTTATAATGGTAGTTATAGAGTAAGAGGAAGTTTTAGAGGGAATGGTGGGAATAGTAGAGGAAGTGTTCAAGGAGACAGATACTATCCACCCACGCAGAGACCTAGAGAAAGAGAGGATAGAGATTTTGTGGGTCTGGCTGACACTATCATGGAAGACTATTGATACCGACTGGGCTCCATCCCACTTGGTCGAGCGGAGCCTATGGTCGATGTAGCAATAGGGGGAAAGAGAAGTTCTTTCATGATCGACACAGGTGCTGAACATTCTGTGGTGACTAAGATGGTGGCTCCGCCTTCGGGGAAGACTATAACTGTGATAGGAGCTACTGGGAGAAGTGCAGCTAGACCGGTTCTTAAGAGTCGCACTTGTATTCTGGGAGGCCATGTGGTGAAGCATTAGTTCCTATATATGCCAGAGTGTCCGATTCAACTTTTAGGACGAGATCTATTATCGAAGCTTTAAGCTCAGATAACCTTTTACCTAATGGATTAACATCTCTGAAGTTTAAGGGATTACCAGGCATAATGGTGATATCGGTGCCAAGGGAAGAAGAATGACGCTTCTATTCCATAGTGACAAGTGTTAACCCTAAGAGTGATGAATCCTTATTTGACATTCCAGGAGTATGGGAAGAAAATAATCCTCCAGGACTTGCTCGTAATATCCCACCAATACATATTGAGTTAAAGCTCGGGGTGTATCCTGTTAGCCTTTGTATGTTGTTCTTTTATCTACCCCAACAGCTGTAAAGGTGGCGGAAGTGACTCCTTGGATTCATCATTCTAAGGTTAAACCAGCAGCAGACTCTTGGCAAGCTACTCCAGATCCTGAGAATCCTTGCAGGACCCGGTTGAAGCGTGCAACTCAGTCGGAGTGACGAGGGGATATCGAGACATTCTAGTTAAAAGTCTACAAAGATCATCAAGTAGGTGTTTTGACGGCCATAATAAAGCCTGACCACCTGCCTACGTGTCATAGCCAGAGTATCTTGAAGGGATCTCTGTGAAGGAAAGTGAGGATCAGAAGAACAACATCCTTGCAGCCCTCACAATCGGGAAGCTGAGAGGCCATCGCACGGTCGAAGAAAAATGAGGATTTCAGGAATAATGTGTTTTATTGTGTCTTAGTATTTTTATGATTTTTCAGGAAGGTAGGAGTACAGACATACCGAATTGCGATAGTTGCATTAAGACTACTAAAACAGGTAACCAAATATCCCAAACTCTCATCTGGCACTCACAGTATGAATGTAAGGGATCTGTATCTAAATGTAGATATTTGGATATTGATTATAGTGTGTGCAAGCCAATATCAGGAGAGTCTAAATGTTTTGATCCCCATTTCCAACCCCGTACAATTTGGTTGGTAATTCGGAATAGTAACTCCCAGGGGACATTAATAAATAGGACTGTGATAAGCACCATACATTCCACGGGTATTCTACTATTTGATGCATGTAAGGCGATTTCGGGTAGTGGAAGACTTTGGAATGTATGTGGTAATCTTAAATGGGAACGAACTTATGGGTTTAATGATAAATACTTATGTCCCAGTAAAAGATCTACTGATCCTGATTGCCCAAATAGAGACTAACTTCTGCCCCTATTGGTCATGTGTAGGTTGGGCAACCTGGGAAAAACAGTGGATCAAGATATGATTATCCAAAGGTTGCCTACCACACCATACTGTAAAACTATGTGTGTAACCCCGTTCACATGACCATTTCCAATCTGCAGTACTTTATTGACAGGTTTGGAGGTCTGTTTGGGTTTCAAATATATGGCACAGGAGTAGATTCAGGAACAATAATATATGTAGGTCTTGAAACTGAGACAGTGGCAACTCAAACTCATCAGGTTTCTCATTCCTTCTATGAGGAGATGAGTATTGAGGATAAAATTCCCCATAATGTTAACAACCTATTTATTGATTTGGCTGAGGGTATTGCAGGTAGTCTTAATGTAACTAATTGCTATGTGTGTGGAGGTACTAATATGGGAGACCAGTGGCCATGGGAGGCAAAGGAAATATGGTACCCTGGCTCTGAGACATATGAACAACAGATACCTTTCCAGTCTGATCATCAAGTAAGTACTAGAAGTAAATTGGAATGGTGGTTAAAAACCTCCATTATAGGTCATGTTTGTATAGCCAGGAAAGGGACAATGTATAACACGTCTGTAGGTGAGCTAACTTGCTTGGGACAAAAAGCCTATAATGTTAATACTAAAAATACTACTTGGTGGTCAGCTTCAAATGTCTCGGAACCTACTAATCCGTTTGCCAATTACACTCATTTAAAGGAGGTATGGTTTGACTTATCGGCTACATCTAGTTGGAAAGCCCCAGCAAATTTATACTGGATTTGTGGTAAGAAAACTTATTCGGAGTTACCACAAGATTGGGAAGGGGCATGTGTATTAGGTATGCCAAAGCCATCCTTCTTCTTGTTGCCAATCGAAACAGGAGAGACCTTGGGAGTTAAGGTTTACGATGTAAATCATAAAAGGGAGAGAGCATCCTTGAATATAGGTAGCTGGGAAGATAATGAGTGGCCCCCTCAACGTATTATTAATTATTATGGACCTGCTACTTGGGCAGAAGATGGTACTTATGGATATAGAACTCCGATTATATATGCTCAACCGCATTATTAGACTACGGGCGGTAGTTGAGATTATTACTAATGACACAGCTCAAGTGCTTAATCTTCTAGCTAAGCAAAATACCAAGATGTGATCAGCCATATACCAGAATAGGCTAGCCTTTGATTACTTACTAGCAGTAGAAGGAGGTGTATGCGGAAAGTTTAATCTAAGTAACTGTTGTCTGCACATAGATGATGAAGGGCAGGCAGTGGCTGAACTTACAAGCCACATGGTTAAATTTGAGCATGTACCTACTCAGGTCTGGAATGGGTATAACCTAAGTAGTTGGTTTGGAAGTTGGTATGAGCAGCTTGGAGGAATTAAGACATTAGTAGGAGGAGTAGAATTTATTATTTTTTTTTGTGCCTCCTCCTGCCCTGTCTAATTCCACTAGTGGTAAGGTCCCTACGTAGTATTATAGAGAGTACTAGAGAGAAAGACAGCGGCTCATGTAATGGCTGTCTGGAAGATATGATCCCCTAGCCCGAAGAGAATATATTCAGGATGAAGAATGTTGAAGGAGTTTTTAAGATGCTTACAAGGTCTACTCTGGTTCAATGGCTACTTGAGAGATGTAGGTAAAACTGTGATTGGTGATGCATCTGGAATAATGTTATATCAGAGGCATCAAAGGGGGGAATGTGATGGGATTCCAGCATGGTCAAAATTTAGTAGGCCAAAATCTCCATGTGGCATATGTGTATGTTGTGTCAGTTGGTTAGCTACATGTAGCTAGGATACTGTCATCAGTGTACTGAGCATGTGCAGGAATGCAGGAACTGAAATTGCACTTATTTCCTTTGTCTTGGATGAGCCATGTGGTTTGACTAGATGTACAAGTCTATATTCTGCTCATTGATTGGTTAAAGGTATATGTGGGTGTAGCTATTAATGGGAGGAGTTATAGTGCTATATAAGGAATGTACACTATGTGTTGGTCTCTCAGAATGTTGGAACAGGAGTTCATCTGAGACCCGATCGGTAATGTGAATAAAGGCCTGTTACTTCCTGAAGACCTGTGTCCAATATTTCTGTGTTTGGCTTCTGCATGCTTACACTGCAACAGTATGACAAGATACAAATGTCGTGGGTGCGGCCTGATCGTCAATGTAGGTAGACGCTCAGGTAGAGAGCTCTCTCACTGAAGCCTCCAAAAGCTGATACCAATGAAATAGTATACAATATACATAATTATATTTCTCATCTCAATTAAAGGACCACTGTAGGCACCCAGACCACTTCAGCTTAATGAAGTGGTCTGGGTGCCAGGTCCCTCTAGGATTAACCCTTTTTTTTTATAAACATAGCAGTTTCAGAGAAACTGCTATGTTTATAAATGGGTTAATCCAGCCTCCAAATCCTCTAGTGGCTGTCTCATTGACAGCCGCTAGAGGCGCTTGCGATTCTCACTGTGAAAATCACAGTGAGAACATGCTAGGCTCATAGGAAAGCATTGTAAATGCTTTCCTATGAGACTGGCTGAATGCTGGGCAAGAAGCCTTGAGCCACATGCCGGGTGCTGGAAAAAGGTAAGTTTTAACCCCTTCCTCTCCCCAGAGCTGGGCGGAGGGGACCTGAGTGGGGGCACCCTCAGGGCACTATAGTGCCAGGAAAACGAGTATGTTTTTTCTGGCACTATAGTGGTCCTTTAACCACTTAAGGACCAAACTTCTGGAATAAAAGGGAATCATGACATGTCACACATGTCATGTGTCCTTAAGGGGTTAAGATAATCTATGCCTGAGAAGCCCTCCGATATTTTTCATCATTCTCCATTTTTTTATTTTTTATTTTTTAACTACTTTTCCCTGTGCCACCAAAATAGAAGAGTTGCTATACAGCTATACAGCCAGCCTCTACTCTTTTTTCCTCTACTCCACATCATTGCAGCATTACTGCAACATTATTATTGCAACATTATAGCCACAGTCATCTTTTAAGCAGCGTCTCTCTGAACGTCTCCCTGAGCATCAAAAAAACCATGAGACTCACCGCTGATAAAATCCTCTCAGAATGGGTCTAGGCCGAAGCCCAGGAGCGGTACACTCCACACCATCTTCCAGCTGGCGAAATCTGCGGACGTAAATGAAGAAGCCTCAAATTCCACAAAGCGAGCGGCGCTAATGCCGTAAATAGCGGTATGGATACAACCGAGAGCCTAGACAGCTGGAAAAGCCAGGATAGCCACGAGAACCACCCAGACCCAGGAGAAGGAGGGTCAGGTAAAAGCTTACCTGCTGCTACATCTATTATTGCTACATCTATTATGCAGACACCGGGGCGGATGGCATACAATT